CCGTGTGCTGTCAGGAAATGGAATATTTAATTTATTTATTTGACAGAGAGAGAGAGAGTACAAGCAACCAGAGCGGCAGGTAGAGGGAGAGGGGGAAGCAGGGTCCCTACTGAGCAAGGAGCCTGATGTGGAACTGGATCCCAGGACCCTGGGATCATGACCCGAACTGAAGGCAGATACCTAACTGATTGAGCCACCCAGGCGCCCCAACCCTGCATACACTTTGAAAACACATGCATGTCTGGAGTATCCTTTATTTAAAAATAAATAAATAACTTTTCATTACAAAAATAATGTGTTGATTACCAGGATTTCTGAGCTCACAGAAGATGGTAAAGTAAAAAGTGCAAATTTTGAATCAGCCTCCTTGACATCTAAGTTTTGAAAGAGGAGCACTGTTAAAAGTTCAGCATGAATCCTTCCAGACTTTTTTCCATGTATACACTAATTATATAAGGTGATGTGATACAGTATAATTGTCACTTTTTGGTCTTCTTTATTCTATTTGAACCATTATACCATATTTCATAATATGAATCTACCATCATTTTAGTTGTTTGCAATTTTCTGTTTCAAAAAAAATGCTATGACAGACGTCCTTGAGCAGAATTTTTGCACATTTATTTAAATATCTGTGTAGGATAGATTTCTCAAATTAAAATTACTGTGTAATATATATATATATATACACACATACACATATATAGAAGTTTAGCAGAAATTGCCAAATTCCATCCCCCATGATGTATGGCTTTATAGTCCCTTCAATATTGTATGAAGGTGCATGTTTCTTTCTATAATCTGGTCAATAATGTAAATTATTATCTTTTCTAATTTTGCCAATCTGGTGGTGCTAATGGTATTTCACGGCTATATTAGGTGTCCTCTCATAAATTTTAACATTTCTTCTATTAAACATTTCTTCTACAAACTGTTCATTTGCCCACTTAAAAAACTGAGGTTTTTTTTTTCTTACTAATAGGTATAATTTATGTTCTTGGATATTAACAATTTTTCATATATATTGCAAATATTTTCCATCATGTCTTTTCCCTTTGTCCATTTCTTTGCCTATAAATAAATGCCCCATTTTTATGTGATCAATTGTGTCCAGTGCAAAACTGGACATTTACTTTGGAAATCTGTCATTGGGTGTCCCTTTTTGCCATGGCTGGCTCTCTCAGTGCTTTTTTTTTTTTTTTTTCCCTGAGTGCATCCAATACCTCACTTTATTTCTCTCCCTGAATCACAGATTTCTTCCCTTTTCCCCTCTGAGTCCTCTGTCATTTCCCCTTTTCTCTTTATCTCTTCCTTTCCTTAACCATCTGTAGTATTAACCATCGTAAATGCTCTGAATGATTCGTTCTGGTAGTTGGATAGTATTCCCCAGCTCTATTTTTGTTTGCTTAGGAACAGGTTCTCATTTACCTAACTGAATTTCAGCGGAGTTGTAACGTGTGCTGAATGTAAGATCTGGGGATTTCAAGCATTTACAGCTGAGAGTCCATTTATGTGTCCTTTTAATCACAAAGAATTTTAGAACATAAAAAACAACTGTTTTAGAACGTAAAAAACAACGTAAAAAATGCCTTGTTGGAGGCAGCATAGGGGAATGGATAGAAGCAGTCTGCATGGTTAAATTTGGCTCCTTGTTAACCGAAGGGGGATCCTGAGAGATTTACTTAGCCTCTAGGTTCCTTTTCTCTTTGGTGGGGTAACAAAACCCACCCAACTGTTGTGAGGATTAAAATGAGATAAGAAGACACCCACGCATGATAAACACACCTGCTTTGGTAAAGGAGCCCATCAGCAGGTTGGTTTGCTGAGTGTGTGTGTGTGAGTGTGTCTGTCTGTGTGTTTTATGCTAACTGTAAAAGAAGTAAAAAAGAGGCACGTGGTTCAGCTCTCAGAGGGTGGATTCCACTGGTCTAAGTTCAGTTCCTTTTGCAGGAAGAGCTTAGAGTCATAACAAGGAAACTAACCCTAAAGATGAGCCTCGCCTATCAAGTCTTAGCCAGCTCTCTTCTGATTTTCATCGTTTCTACCAAAGGTAAGTTGGTGTGGGTCTCCAATGGAGTGAGCATGCTAAAGTGAGCCTGAGAGTCAGAGGTCGTGGCCCCACTGTCTCTGGCCGTGCGTCTCAAGATCTCAGGAACTGTCTTGCTTTTTATAGGTGCAGCCCATGAACACAAGATTGTCTGGGGTACCCTGGGTCTTGACTTTGAACTGAACATTTCTAATTTTCAAATGAGTGACAGTATAGATGATATACTATGGGACAACGGAAAAGCCAGGATTGCACGACTCAAAGGGGGCAAGCTTAAAGAGACATCTAGAAGATATAGTGTATCAACAAACGGAGCTCTGAGAATTAAACAGCTAAAGACAGAGGACCATGATACCTACAAGGTTACTATATATGATAAAATTGGAAAGAATGTCTTGACCGAAACATTTCTATTGATAATTCAAGGTAAGTCTTTGTTTCCCCAAATTCCTCCATCCCAGTCTGGGTACCCTTTAGCAAGTTGGGGAATAGCATGTATGGAATGGGTCCAGCCTGACCTTGGCCTTGGGGGATCCCTAAAAGAGATGTAATGATCTCTCCCACCTCAGTGAAGGCTCCGTCTGTGGAAGAGATGGAATCTCCACGTGGGGAAATACGCAGCTGATAGAACCACAATTCTCTTTGCCTAAAATCCTCTCCTCACTGGTTACGGGGATGTGATCTGCATGTAGAACCTCCTTTAAGGTGCCATCAATCAGGAGGAGAGGAACAGGTGGGCAGAAGGGAAAAGTGGTCACTTCAGGAGGATGAGGAAGGAGCAAGCTGGGTGTGGGGCAGACTAACTGGAGAGCAGGAGGTCTTCCATCCACAGAAACGTTTCAAACCAGGGTGCCCTGGAAGAATCATTATATGGCAGGAAGGGGCTGGAAGTTATGAATTTAAAGATGAAGAGCCCTTGGTTCAGATCTGCTCACCATCAGGGTGATCAAGAGAGGAAGATGACTTTTGCTCTTGCTGTAGAAAACACACCAGGTGTGGCCATATGTATGGGATGCCCTGGGAGAGCTGGCATGTGTCCTGAAGACAAGTCAGGGAGCTGCTGCAGCCGCCGTCCAAAGGAGGTGGGGGGTGGGGGTGGGGGCGCTGCTTGGGGATTCCGAACTCAGGTAGTCTGTTCGAGTCAACAGAGACTAGGAAAAGTTACCGGGGCCAAGGGCCCAGCCTAGACCAATCAAATCAGAATTTCCTGGCATGGGTCCTGGGCATCAGTAAGTGCTAAAGCTCCCCAGATGACCCTAATGGGCAGCCAGAACCTGAGGGCCCCCGGAGTCGATAAGGGGTGCCTGCAACATGAGGAAGTAAGCGTATGCCTAGGACACTGGGCGGAGAAAGGTTGGGCAAGATGGTTTGGGTGCAGGAGGCTAGGAAGAGAAAGTGAAATGGAAATTACATTGAAGTTCAAAGTCTAGGAACACTTGGCCGGGGGTGAGAAGAAGTGAGAAGGGGAAGAAGCATCTGGAGACCAGAACGCCCGCAAGAGCATAAACCAGAGATTCAGTGGGCAAAAAACAGTATTTCTCTGCTTCACACAGGAAATGAGCTAGAACCAGGGCTGCTTTCCCGTCCCAGGATCACCCTCCAGCCCTGCTCTCAGCACATGGGCCTGGCAGCAGCCTCCGCTCCAGTGATCCCTGATGTGCCCGTTCCAGGGGCAAATGACAATTCTTGGTACCCTAGTCCCCCGCAACCTTGAAGGGAGAGCACATTCCAGAAATGGGGCGGGACTGAGAATGGAGCTGGAAGAGAGCTGCTTACAGGCTCTGGGAACCCAGATCTCATGACTCCTGTCCATATGGGCTCCAGTGTTCCCTTCTGGAACATAAGCCTCACATGTCTTGTCTAGTAAGGCAGTGATAAGGGCTTACCAGCTTGGCGTCGAGTGCTTTGCTCCACAATCTTACTTAAGGTTCCTGACAATCCCCAGAGCTAGTTGTTATTATCCTCTTATTATCTACAGGGACACAGAAGTGACTTCTCCCAAGTCTCACAGCTTGGCAGGAGCAGAGTCAGGGTACAAATCCAGGGCTTGTCTTAACAAGGGTGGTGACATTTTTTTTCCCCCTGGAACAGCTTTAGTGAGATAGAATTCACATACCAGAAGTTCACCCACTTAAAGTGTACAATTCAACGGCTTCTGGTATATTCACAGAGTTGTGCAACTGGCACACAATTGACTAGAACATTTTCATTACCCCCAGAATAAACTCCACATTCCTTGGCCCAAAGACAGAGATCTTTCTGTAACACAACAGCCACCTGCTGAGCGTGTGTCTGTGTGTGCCAATGTCACACAGCATCTTAATTCAGTGTGTGGTCTGGTCTCCATGACTTGCCACATGTCTGCTCTGAGTCTGCTCTTTGTAATAATTACTCCACGGGACATTCAGTGAGACAGCTAAGCAAAGATCCCAGCACCTCGGACCCAATACCCATTGTGCAGTGCCAGTGCCCTCCCCCACCCCTGTTTCTTCATGCTTTTCGTAGCTTTGGTCTCTGTACCCCTATCTCCTTAATGAGGGCGCTGCTGCCGCTGGCTGAAGAGGCACTGGAAACCCTCTTAAAAGCATGTGTTAGGGGAAGAATGAATAAATCCTAACAACCTAGAACTAAGGAGTTCTCATCGATGTGATGTGCCCTCCCTTGATCCAGCCATGCCCCTTCCGGGAAGCCACCTTACAGAGAGCTTGTCCAAAGACATGGCTTCAAGAGCCTGCTCATCGCCGTGTGGCTTATATTAGTGAAATGCTGGAAAGGATTGCAAAGTCCCCAGTGGTTACAGACTTATTCATTAAATTAAGAATACATCATTTAAAAAGATGGTAGAGGTGAATATTTATCGATGCTCATAAAGGAAAGAATTTCACAATAGATCATCAGTAAGGAGGAAGTATGCAGACTACAAAATCATGATCCAGTTTTAGTTTTTAAAACATTACTTATATGGGTATTATATGTAGAAATCACCTTGTATGTCTACTAAAAATATTAAGAATTATTGGCTCTGGTAGTAGAATTGCTTGTGATTTTTTTTAAAAGATTGTTTTATTTGAGAGAGAGAGAGCACATGAGTAGGGGGAGGGGCAGGGGGCGGGGCAGAGGGAGAAGCAAACTGATAAGCAGGGAGCCCGATGTGGGGCTTGATCCCAGAACCCTGAGATCATGACCTGAGCCAAAGGCAGACGCTTAACCGACTGAGCCACCCAGGTGCCCTTGCATGTGATTTTTAATCTTGAAACATTTTGTTGCATCTGATCAATCTTTACAATGATTGGATGTCACTGTTATAAATAGAAAAAAGATTCTTTCCATTTTGAAGAGGCAAGTAAACACCTTGATTTGACCCCTAGACTCTATACTGACTGCCTTGTAGACTCTCCATCTTCTTCGTTTTGGATCACACAGAATCTTGGGATGGGGAGAAAAATGAATTTCTACATGCAGATATACTAGGGCAGAAATGAAATCTGATGGGAAAGTTCATGGAGAAGATACATTGTCTGGAAGGCAGGGAGGAAGAGAGTCATTGAAAAAGAAGCCATCTGGCTGCATAATGAATGGAGAGAAATTGAGAGAAAGGTGGCAAGCCCGGGGAAAGTAAGGGTTATATGGAGGACAGAGGAGAACAAAAAGGAGAAGGTCACGCTAGCTAAGAAGTGATAGAGTTAGGATTTGGACGGGCCCCGTCTGAAGCCAAGGGCTTTGTCTTTCATGCCACACCCTTGTCATATTATGGTGTCAGAAAAAGAGAGACAGGGAGTTTGGGATTATGACCATAACAGTGGCCACCAATAATGTCAGTACCTAACGATTTGCCCAGGGTTCTGTCACATATTGTCCCTGTTAGGACAGCCAGGGCGTGTCTTCCTTATTATCCATCTCTTACAGATAAGGTCGTAAGGTCCGCTGAGGCACAGTAAGGGGCGGAGCAGCTTTGGGTGGGGAAAGGGGCTGGTGCCCACTCATCCCAGCCCGGCCCTCTGCTCCCAAGACCTGACGGATGAGTGGGGGTGGGGTTCGTTTGGGACCAAGATCCCAGACCACACATGGAACGATGCCTCCAGGCTAGGGTTCCTATGCTGCTTTGAAGCACTGCCCGTGCCTCGGGCTTGTGGGGATCAGGACATGTTAACCACTGTATCCATGCTACTGAACTTGGACTTGGAGGAGAGGGCTCCTCCCCGATCTGTCCTTTATTAGTGGATGCTCTTAGTCCACCATTTAACCCCAGGTCTTGGGTATGGCCTCTGTAAATGGCAAGAAAACATCAACCTCTTCTGCTTGTTAGGATTAAATGATATCATGTAAGTGAAAACATTTTAAGGTATAAAATAGCACATAAACACTTGCGATATATATATATATGTATGTATGTATGTGTGTGTGTGTGTATATATATATATATATTTTTTTTTACTCATGTACTGTAGCTATAAACTTCACCAAAAAAATGTGCTGAATGTGCTGTATCAAAAAAAGAAAAAGGATTTTTAAAAATAGCTAGTGGTCTTGGAAACTGTTCCCTGGTCCCAAACTAACTCCATTCCCCACCTCTATTAATAAGTATGTCTACTAAAATCGGAAAATTAGCTAATATGAACTGGATCTTTTTTTTTTTTCCCCCAGAGGCGGTTTCAGAACCTGTGATGTTCTGGAGTTGTATCAATAGGAGCCTGACCTGTGAGATAAGAAGCGGCACTGACCCCAAATTAATGCTGCATCTAGATAATAAACCATTAGATAATGCTGTGGCCAAAACTATTTCTCAAAAGATTGCCACGAACATCTGGATGACCAAACAGAGTATGTTATTCAACTGCACGGCCAAGAACAAAGTCAGTGAGCAAAGCAGAACGATGACCATCAATTGTTCAGGTGCGTGGCAAGCACTGGTCAGAAATCCTGAGCTCAGTTCGCAAACACAGTCTACCAGGTCCAGGGCGGAGACTCACTCTAGTGCCTGGGTCTCCAGGCTGGGAGGCAGCCTGGGTTCAGGGTGAGAACTGAGAACACACTTCCTTCTAGAAACCTCTAAGGGAAGCCTTGGAGGAGACAGAAGGTGGTCTTCTATGGTTACCCATCGTGGGCTCCACAGAGCATCATGTCACCTTGGAGAATTACAAAGATCCTCTTCTGGGAGAAAGAATTGCCCAGTTGAAGAGCTAGAAAGAGCTATAGAGGTTATCTCATGCAAACCCCCATTTCCCAGAGAGGTCAACTGATTTGCCTGAGGTCCCTCAGGTAGTCAATGACCAGGATTGTGACTCCCAGGGTAATGATGGAAAAGGGAGCAAAAAAGATTGCTTTCTGGAGGGGTGATGGGCAGTACCTCCTATCAGGAGCCAGAGTAGAAATCCAGAAGTGAGGGGCATGGAGAGAGGATGAGCTCAAGGCCAGGGAGGATGGTGGACACGGTGAGGCAATGTTCCTCTTGCCATAGAGCTGACAGCCCCACGTCAGGAAGTCCTGAAACCCAGGAGTGTAAGCTCATCCCCCAGAGTCCTGCTTGACATGAGTCCCAGAAGTAGAGTTTGAGAGGCAGCCTGCCTAGGGGGAGCTCTGGGAACCAGAGGCCTGGACTTCTAGTTCATGTCTGCCCAAATTCAGTGGGATTACCTTGTCCGAGTTCCTTCCCCTCTCTGGGTTTCAGCCTCCTGGTCCACAAAGAGAATGAACCCCGTGATCCCTCAGTTTCCTCGTCTGGCACTCTGTCTGCTTAACCCCTCTGAAGGGAGACTGAACACAGAAAAGTAGTTCCTCAGCCAGAGGCCCTGAGATTCTACAGGGACTATGGCTGCTGAGTTACCTCAGGAAACAGCCCTGGAGCTGGTATGGAATCAGACGTGAGGCTTTCTTATATAGGCCTTGAAGGAGTTATCTGCCACTGCACCACAAATTATCTTTGTTGGTGGCTTAAAAGACCAAAGACTGTCTTGCAGTTTCTGTGAGTCATGAGTCTGGGAGAGTCTTCCCCAGGCAGTTGTGGTCCTTACAGTCGGCTGCAGTCAGGAGGCCAGCTGGGACCACAGTTGGGTGGGCTGGGTCCAGGCTCTGTGCGGGGAGGACCCACATCAGGGCTTGCTCTCAGGGACCGCCGGGCCGCCTCACAATATGGCTACTAGCTGTCCTCAGGGCAGGTTAAGAGAGAGCCTGAGGGAGTGCATGAGGCAAACGCCAAGGTCTATTCGTAACTTAGTCTCAGGGGTACTATCCCATTACATCTGCCATATTCTGTTCTTCAGGAGCGACTCAGTAAGCCCAGCCCATGTGCATAGGAGGGGATTGCACAAAGATGGGAATACCAGAGGGCTGGAGGCTGCCCATTGCACGCTTAGAGGGACATCACTTCACTCCCCCATGTCAGCCCACCAGCCATGACTCCATAACCCCCCATCATGAAGGCGCAGTGAGCAAAGCTGCCCTTCCTTGACTTCACGGCCTCTTTTCTCCCTTCCGGGAAGGACATACTTCTACTAAAAGTTATTCATTGTTTATCTGAAATTCAAATGTAACTGCATTTCCTGTGGTTTATTTGGCAACCCATTTCTTCATGTTTATTCTAACCAGATCCCACCAGTATAGAAATCTCTGTGCATCAGGGATGGGGGTGGGGGGTGGGGGAGGTCCACGTGCTTTTGAAGACCTTCAAAGGGATCACCTTCACGGTCCAAGTCAGGGAGAGGCAAGGAAAAGATCACCCATTTGACTCAGCAAAAGCGAGCATATCCTTGAAACCAAGGCACTGAGGGAGGAGCAGGAATGGATACAGAAAGACCACCTTACGTGGACTCATGGGGGCATCACCTCCATGAGGGCATGCAGGAAGTCGTAGGCTTAGATTTAGAGATGGTGAGGATGTGGTTTTGAATGATGGAGCCCCAGCTTCCTCTGAGACCTGCTGGAATGTTCCCTGCCGAGAGCACCCCAGGTGCCGTGGAGGGCCCTGCTGGACAGACCTGTGAATGGACAGTGTGAGGCGTGCCTCCACTTCCATGAGTGCCCCCAGACAGAGGTGTGGGGCCCCCCGGTGTGAGGACTCAGAGGAGCTGAGCGGAGGCTGCATGGCCCAGACCGTGCTCTCTGACCTATTCCCACCAGGTCAGACCCTGGGAAGGTCAGCCGGAGAGAGACTCCTGCAGCCCCTGGCTCCAGCCTGCGGAGCCTTCAAGGACCCCAGTGCTTTCTTGGTCCCATGGAATGTTCCAGTGGAAGCACCTCTGTCCACAGAGCAGGGGAGGTTGTGTTAGTGGCAGGCCAAGAGTGGAGCAGAGAGGAAATAAGATGAGGAACGAAAGTGAGAATTAACAGACTGTTGCTGTCAGAAAATCTGTTTGGTTTGGTTTTTGGGCCTCTGACTTACTCCCAGGGCTCATTCTGGGATTTGCATGTATCAGGGTCTTCCGAGGGATGTTTGGCTGGAAGAGGGTTTCCTTCTGATGCTGGCTGAGCTCCACTTTATCCGCCAGATGCACGAGTCCCCTGACACCCGGCCCCAGCTGTGGCCTCTCTAACTGCGCTTGACTCACCAAGGGCAGGTGGCCAGTCCCTCTCCTGAGGACACAGCTCCCAGAAACACTGGTGCACAGAGCTCTACTAAGAGCCAGAACTTGCCTCTGTGTGTTGTTTTACAGTTTACAAAGCACTTTCACATCCATTATCTGATTGACCTCCAACAGCCACCCTGTGATGCAAGTTTCCTGATCTCCTTTGTATGCCGAATGGAACAGGCTCAGAGAGGTGGAGTAGCTTGCCAAAGTTCACACAGCTCCTGCCTAGAAGAGGCAATGGCTTCAAACCCATTTCTCTCTACACTGAGTGGTTATCCTCATTGAGGTGCGGCAACTGAAGGTCTGCAAAGTGTCCTTTGATTGTCCTTCAACTCCTTCTCAGAGCGAAACTTCTGTGACATGCTCCTTGAGAGGGGGGCAGAGGATGATGGGCAACGCCCAGCACATGAAGAATTTGGCATTTCTAGAGCAGAGCAGCAGCCCCCCACCCCAGGAGCCATCTGGGGGGCTTATCCCAGACTCTGTGCCCTTTCAGAGATCAACACAACCGACAGCCTTCTTGAGTTTGGCTTTTCTGAGGTGGAAAAGCCCCAGGAGGCTCTTTTATCTCCTTCACGTGGGAAGTGGGAGTCCTTGGCCAGAGCCATGAAACAGCTCCTCGGCCTAGGGCCCCTCACCTCTGTCCATTTCTGTCCCTCTTGCAGAGAAGGTTCTGGACATCTATCTCATCATTGGCATCTGTGGAGGAGGTCTCATCTTCTTCATCTTTGTGATACTACTCATTTTCTACATCAACAAGAGGAGAAAACAGAATGATAGGAGACATGGTAAGGTCCCCCGCTTCTGTCCCATAGCAGGCCCAGGGCAAAATCCCCGTGGAAACAACTCATGGGGATGACACTGCAAGTCTAGAAGGAAGATGATGGAGATGGGGAGTTTCAGAATGTCAAGGGTTATAACCGGCAGTTACAGGTTTTTCCATTCTCTGGTTAGCTTGATCTTTGAAAAACAAATTCTCCGTGGTGACAGTGGGAGAACGTTGAGAAGCCAGATCCTGCTTGGCCCCTTGGAATCCACCACCAAGGCTGGCTTGGTTGAAGCCCTGTGTGGACATATTTTGAATGAACCACACATCTCTACATGGGTAGAATGATTGGCTTCAAAACATAAGCAAACATCTCTTCCTCCCTTTAGGTGGGGGTGGAGGGGGGCAAGGTGTGTTCAGAACCACGCTCCTAGGAACATAGGCAATATTTCTGGGGCCCACAGGACACATGTGGTCTAAAACCAGGGACTTATACCCCCTTTTTCAATTTGGTGATCAGAGGGGATGTGCTGGTGCTGGGACTGTTTCTTCCTCAAATCAGGCCTATCCAACAACCCAGCAAGAATGAAAATGTCATGCTCATAAGTAGGGAGCTCGCTCCTAGAGCACAGGCCACCCAAGACAGTGAGTTCAGAGAATGGCACAGGAGGTGTCCCTGCAGACTCTGGGGGTGCCAGGACCCCATGCTGCAGGTGGGCCCCGCAGGGTACATCCAGCCACAACAAGACAGGCAGCCAGGCAAGCAGTCCCCTCGGATTCTGTGCAATCTGACATTCCCAGCAGGACTGGGTCCTCTCACTCTGGGTCTCCCCCTAGAGAAGGCCCAGGATGCCCACGCCAGTGGCCTGCAGCACCACCCAAACAAGGACCTGGGCTGAACCTGCCCAGGCAGGGGTGGTGTTAGGCTCTCTTTGGACTTGGCTTCCTTACTTCAGACTTCTCACCTTGGGTCCCCTTCGGGTCACTGCCCCCAGCGTGGCGCCATGTTTCCACTGCCATCTTTCCAGTACTCTCTGTCCACATGGAGCAGAATTCCTTGTTAGTCCTGTGGGAACCCAGGGCTCCCTCGCCTCTGTGCCCTGTTCAGGCTATTTTCTGTCAAAGTCCCCTTGCAAAAGCCCTTTCTCCATTGCCTGAGGGTCAATGATCACATAGTCCTCCAAGCCCGTGACAAGGCAATCCCAGCTTTCAACACAATAATTAGCTCACATTGACAAAGCGATCACTTGAGCCAGGGACTAACCTCTGCAATATAATGCTTTGCATTCATTATTGTATCCAACTTCCCAAGTCATCTTCTGAGATAGATAATACTCATACAGATGAGAAAATTTAAGCTCGTTGTGGTTAAATGATTTCCCCCACGTCCTATGGCCAGTGGGTTGAGTCAGGACTAGGGTGAGACAGACAAGGAGTTCCATGCCATTGAAGGAGACCATCACCCTCAGCCCCTACTCTGCCCTTGCTCACCCCTAGAAGTGAGTGCCCTTCCATTATGTGCCCTGGCTCCCTTACTCGCTTCACCCTAGCCTGGGCCCTGGGTGCAGAACCAGGAGGTGAGATGAAAGAGAACACTAGGCCTGGATTAATTCCCGGGAGCAGACATTTGGGCAGTGGCTGCCATGACCAGGGTGGGCATGCTGGGCCCTTCCCCGGTCCTGCTCTGCCAGGCAGGCTGCTGAGAACCACAGCTCACCTGTCTGTGCAATGCAGCCTGGGGGCTCGGCCGCTTGGCCGTACTCAACTCCTCCCCCCAGAGCTCATGAGGCTCTGTCTGCACCTCTCTGGTGACTCTGGGCTCTTACCAGAGACTGACATTGTGGTTTGCAGTCCTGGTTCCCGGTCCTTTGATTTTAGGCTTCCTGAGGGCAAGTATCTTGTCCGGTTACTGTCTTGTATCTGAGCCATTGCTGCTACTTAGCAATGGCTCCTAAATCTAGAAGGTGGGCAATAAATGCGTGAAGGACAAATGTACAGAACAGGGGGTGAACAGACTCCCAAGCAAATGGGCAGCCCGAGCTTGCCTTAGAGGCAATGAGGCGGCTTCTCCAAAACCACATGGCAGGGAACTGGACTTGGTCGGGGTCAGAGTCCTCTCCACAGCTTCCCGGCCTGCCCTCAGCTTCCTCGGGGCATCAGAGATGGCATAGAGGATGTGTTTTTCTCTTTCCGTGCCCTTTGCCTTTTGTGCTTAGAGCACTGTGGCCCTCCTGCGTCACAGCCACATTGTTGGACTCTAAGTCTTCATGTGGAAACTGCCTAAAACCTGGATTTCTAGCGCTCAGAGGAGGCTGTGCCCCTGACATCCTCACCGGAAATTACATGGCCATATTCTGAGGGGACCAGGGCTCCTAAGCTGAACATGCCCATGTCAACGCGATGGACACTTCACAGGCCCCAGGAGAACATTCTCTTCCTACCTCCCGTGGGAGCCCTGCAAGGATGGCTTTGGACAGAGGGAGTGGGACACCGTCCTTGAAGCCCAGCAGAGGCTGGAGGGCCAGAGGGGCCCTTCAGGCCTAGAGAAACTGAGCCTCCTCATGCATTCCCTATGTAGTTTTTTTTTTTTAAGATTTTGTTTATTTATTTGACAGAGATCACAAGTAGGCAGAGAGGCAGGCAGAGAGAGAGGGGGAAGCAGGCTCCCCACCGAGCAGAGAGCCCGATGTGGGACTTGATCCCAGGACCCTGAGATCATGACCTGAGCCGAAGGCAGGGCTTTAACCCACTGAGCCACCCAGGCACCCTCACCTACCCCCCGCCTTGTAGTTTTAAAACATCAAAGGAATAACCGCATTATTGGGAGTTGTGGGCCCATCTTCGTGGACTGCTGTCACATATCATGGAAAATCCCAGAGGGGTGATAGGCCAAGAAATTCTTGTCCTCCCAAGCCCAAGAGGATGGGACTTGCTTATGAATTTCTGAGAAACTAGCAAGTTTCTGAGGGCTAAAGGGCCCATTGCCTATATTCCAGCCCCTCACCAGAATGAGGGCTGTCTTAGAGCAAGAACTGCATGAAAGGCAGAGCTCACAGGGAAACCCACCTGAAAGCAGGTGGTCACTGACGTCCCCTCTGATTCTGGAGCTCCTATCCTAAGAGCTCTAACCCCAAGGTGCTCTCAGGGCATGGTCTCTAGGGTAACCCAAAGGATGGGCTCTGAGATCTGAGTGCCCTCTCCATGCCCAGGGCAGAAAGGCACAAAGGCCTCTAGCTGCCTCTTTGCCTCTGGTTCCCTGAGTTCCCGAAAGCCTGGGGCTCTCACTTTACCCTGCTGGTAGGCGCTTCTGTCTCCCCTGCAGGACTTGGAAATTGTATAGGGTTAGAGTGGCTTCTGCTTCCTCACTGCTTCCCCCCACACAGTTAGCATGACATCTCGTAGGTAGGTGGTACACTCAATAAATCGTGACCTTGACCCTATCTCACCAAGAGAACTCTCACAGGTTTTATTGTTGCAGATGAAGAGCTGGAGGTAAGAACATGCAGAGTAACCTCCAAGAAAAGACGCCAGAAACCCCGCCAGGTCCCAGGAGCAGCTCCTCAAAACCCAGCCGTGTGCCAGCCTCCTCCACCACCTAGTCATCGGCCCCAGGCCCCTTGTCCTCGGCCCCCGCCTCCGAGCCACCGTGTCCACCACCACCCGCAGAAGAAGGCTCCTCCTGCATCGGCCACACAAGTTCACCAGCAGAAAGGTCCTCCCCTCCCCAGGCCTCGAGTTCAACCAAAACCTCCCCACGGGACCACTGAAAACTCGTAATTCTGTCACCTGGCATGGTGTTCCCTTCCTTGAATTCAAAGAGATAGGAATTGTTTTTTCCCATGAAGGCACGGTGGTTTCCCCGCCGCGCAGGATCCGCACCCGCGCTTGCATCAAGTGCATTCTGCCGGTTAGGATTACCGCCCGCTGGGCTTATGGGCCATGGCTGTGCCCGCATCTCCCAGCTCCTCCACGTGCACGGACACCTGGAGCCTCTGGCCTCCTCCCGGATCCTCATCACGCCAGGAAGGGCTAGCAATTCAAGGGCTAGCATCGGGATGACGGGCCACCGAGCACAAAGTTCTAGACCTCTCCTTGCCTCCTCTTTGGCTCATGCACAGACAGGAGATGTCTCACCGCCCCTGTGGCTCGCTGCAAGTGGCCGACCTGCCCGAGAGAGACTGCTGGGTTTCTTCTGTGCCTAGTGAACACTTGCCCACCATCTTAAGGGGAGAAGTGAAATAAAAGTTTTGATTTGACCCAGTGTCTGCTCATTGTAGAAAGAAACGCAGCAGCAAGCTGCTGGGTGAGAAAGAGGCTGAGTGGTGTGACAGCAGGATCATGTTTGGTCACCCCGGTTCACCTGGACCACCGACTCCCCCCATCATGCCACCAGAACATGTTCCCCAGGTCTCGGCTGCAAAGCTGGCCCAACAAGCTATTGGTAGATCTGTCTAATGCATTGAAACCTCTACGTGCAAACTGGGACCAAGAGGCACCAGCAAACGTAATCGTTTGGGTCTTACTCCCTTGACGGTTCAGACATAGTCACAGCGGTCTGTAGAATCATCCTTGGTAGGAAGGGAATCGTGACTCCCACAGGTGCTGTGAGGCTATCAAACATAGCAAAGGGCAGGCTCAGAGTCACCTCTGGGGCATCAAGTCCCCAGGGTCTTACATGGCCACAAGGCGAAGATCACCCCCCATCCCCAGCCAGCAGCCATGCTAGCTGTACGGGGGGAAGTGGAAAGAAAAACAAAACAGTTTTCAGTTAAGGTCTTAAAACAATAGGCAGTGAACAGGCACCTGCTTTGAAATGTTTGGTGCCATGTTTGTGGTCCCGTCCGCCCTCCTTCTCCTGGCTTCTTAGACTTGCTAAACCTTGTCAAGATCTGGCAGGAAGCTCTGAGGTCTAAACCGCAAAGCCTATGTGTACTCAGGACTTCCTGTGAGAGCTCGCTCAGGGAGGAACCGCGCCTGCCTCTGAGCCTCAGTGTCTCCTGTGTCGGTACCGGGAGTTAATCTCAAGGGTGAGGATGAATGAGTGCCCACAGCCTCCTGAAATTCACACATCAAATCCAGCCAAAGAGCAGTCATCCCAGGACCCACCGGGTGGGAAAGGGGAAGGTCTTAGCTCTGCCCTCTTCTTCCTCACGACAATCCTGAAACAGTCCATCAGCTGTCCTGCCAGCATGGTTCATTCCCATTCCCTTCATGAAGCCTTCCCTGGGCTTCATGAAACCTTTCCAGGGCAGGCCCTGCCTTTCTTCTGAAATCCGGGGGTGCAATTACATAGGGTCAAGGTCATATGTGGCTTGTAACTGCTCCACAGTCTGTCATTCAATCATTCAACATTCACTGAACATCTATGTACCCAGACTCTCTCCTAGGGAGTAGAACACAGAGGGGTACAACTGCGTCTTTGCCTAGACTCAGCTCACAGTCTGCTGAGAGAGCGGTGGACCGATAACCAGACTAATGTAACACAACCTGGGAAGTAGAGGTCAGAGACAAGCACGGGAGCCCAGAGGAAGGATTTTGAATCTACACTGAGTGGGGGGACTGGGACAACCTAGAAGTCTTCTTGGAGGAGGTGGCATTTGAATCGAGTCATACTAAATCAGCAGCATTGGTGAAGTTGATGGGCAGAATCACCCGTGCAGAGGGAACAGCCTGGGCAAGGCTCATGTCAGCTCCCTGTGTACATATGTATGTGATTCCTTTTTCAACTACTGGGTTTCATTAGCTTGAATATAGCCTTAAAACTAAGGGGCATCAGTATTTTACAATACCGTAAGAGAGAAAAAACACTCTTTGTTGCATTATAACAAATGCTAAGATACAGTTTTTAGGCGTGACCCCATTTCTGAGATGTTAAAATAAAAAAAATTAAAAAAAAAAAAAGCTTTTTTAGAATCGGTGAAAGCTTCCTCAAGACAATGACCATTTCTCAGTGTTGGGTACTAAATATGTCACTAGCGACCAGACTGAATGGGGGAGGACAGCCCTGTCAAAGGAAGGGCGGTGGACATATGTGGCGTCCACAGACGTAAGCCACATTCCCTGCCCTGCTAGAATCTCCTCTTTGAAGCAGAAAACATGGGCTTTGCTCAAGATTTGTGCTGCAGTCTCCCCACGAGTCCAGTGTTGAGTGACCTCCCGCTGACCCTGTCTGGAGCATAGACTTTCTGAGAAATGATCAGGTCAGCTGTGTAAGAACAGACTGTGGGTAAAAAAAATTTGAAAAACAAATGGGGCCCCTGGGTGAGTCAGTCAGAGGAGTGTGAGACCCCTGATCTTGGGGTTGTGAGTTCGAGCTCCATGTTGTGTGTAGAGATTACTTAAATAAATAAAAATGTAAAAAAGAGAGAGAGAGAGACTGGGGAGCTTGTAAAAGAAACACTAATGATTCAGTAAGTTGGGTTGGGGCCCAACTTGGGGTTTTTAATGGCCTCTCTAGGTGATTCCAACAGGAGTTCAAGTTGGGAAAACACAGGATCCTCAAATTATTACTCATTGGTGTCTGGCCAAACTTGAGGACTTACAGATAATACAGCATTGGAATAAAAACAGCAACAGCCCAGTATTGAACTTATTTAAGTCTCTGAGGGGAATTCCCAATACAAGAAAGTCCGCCAAATTGGAAAAAATATCCAGGTACTTCAAGGGACGGGAGCAACCAAGAGCGTCATATGAAGGTAGGAAAGTTTGATCATTTTGATACACTCCCCCCCCACACACCCCACCCCCGCCATCCTCCCTGAAGAGCGGTCTAACCCTAGCTGCTGGGCCAGACAGTGGACTCAGCCCCCCTCTCTGCAGTCACCTACATGGACCCCCTGGGACTTGCCATGCTTGCCAGTGTGGTCATGTGTCCTGCACTTCAGAGCTGCGGCCCACACAGTTCCCCTGGATCCTCGCCTCCTCGCCTGTCCACAGTCTCCTATCAGGATTCAGATCCCAGGTCATTAGAGAGGCCTTTCCAGATCCTGAACTCTGCCGTGAGCTTGTGAAACCGTTTCACCTCTGTGACTTGCTCTGTGGTTCTCCAGCTCAGAGTGGGAGAAGGCCCAAGGGTACCAGAGCCGGAGTAATTTACTCAGCCTCACTGACCACTGGTTTCCTCATCTGTCAAACAAGGAGAACGGTTCACTGGGTCAGAGCAAGGAGTCACTGGAAATAATGTATGTAAATGTAATTGGTGTGTCCTACTGGGCAGAAGACATCTGGGCTTTCCACCTGGCTTGAGGCCTGAATAAGAATATCCCAGATAGGGATGCCTGGCTGGCTCCATCAGTTAAGCGTCTGCCTTTGGCTCAGGTCATGTTCCCAGGGTCCTGGGATCAAGTCCCACATCAGCCTCCTTGCTCAGCAAGGAACCTGCTTCTCCCTCCTCCAGCTGTTCCCTCTGCTTGTGCTCTCTTTTCTCTGACAAATAAATAAATAAAATCTTTAAAAAAAAGAATACCCCAGATCAGGGTGCCCGGGTAGCTCAGTTATTAAGTGTCTGCCTTCGGCTTGGGTCCTAATCCCAGGGTTCTAGGATCGAGCGCCACATCAGGCTCCCTGCTCAACAGGAAGCCTGCTTTGCCCTCTGCCACTCCCCCTGCTTTTTGTTCTCTCTCTCACTGTGCCTCTGTCAAATAAATAAATAAAATCTTTTTAAAAAAAGAAAAAAGAAGAACCCTGAGAGCAGGTATAAATGGCCCACTTACTGGAAAGGGACAGAGCAGATTATAAATTAATAAATAAGCACACGGTAAGGCGACTTGTGCTGTGAGTTTCATTCACCTGAGTTGGTTTCCTGATGTTGGGCCCCATGGGACAACTGGATAAAATCTGATACCAGATGTATTAAAGCTAAAGATCAGTGTGATCAGCGAGACCACCCCACAAAGCCTAGACAGAGCCACCACCCTGGCTGTCACCTCCTTGGCCCCAGAAGCAGGGCCACCCTGATGACCTATATAGACTCCATAAGGTAGTTTGGCAGCCATTCACAGCGACTCAAAGCAGGGGAGAGGGAGGTGGGGGAAATTCTGGTCTTTCTGATAGCCTACCTGTCCACGTCAGATCTACCCACTGGTCAGAGCCAACATGGGGAGGTGGTTACGACAAATGTTGGTGTTGGGCAATCGGCCTTCATGGATTCAAGCAGTCAACCCATCCTGGAGGTCCGAAAGGACCCAGTAGAAGAGCCCAGCCATAGGCACCTCGATTGAAGGGGGCTGTCATCATGAAAGGGACAGAGTGGGGGAATTTCTAGTTAAGGGTAACAGCTTCACTCAGGCATCAGCCTTTACTGCCTTCTGAAACCCAACAAAAGTGACATCACACTTCTCAAAAATTGAAGACATAAACCATAAAAGCAGGGGCACCTGGCTAGCTCGGTCAGCAGAACATGCAACTCGTGATCCCGGGGTCTTGAATTTGAGCCCCACATTGGGCATAGAGCTTATTTAAAAAAAAAAAAGAAAAAAAAAAGACGTAACCACAAAAAGAACAGAGGAAAAAAAAATCCATTGGCATCCTCTGGAACAAAAATCCATTGGCATCATCATCAGTTGGAAAAAGCAGAGGGAAGGACAGCGGATGACTAAGAAGACTTCAAAAGTTACAACAATTTGAAGGCAGCAATGGGGAAAGCCATGGTGCAAACTGATTTACTGCATTAAACATTCAAAAGGCACAGGAGTTGGTGGCACAAGGTATCGCCAGAAGTAGGAATGATGTGTGAGGCTAAAACTGAAAGGCTGGTTACAGATTTACATAAGAAGCAGTTGGATCCCGGATTCCATCCCCTACACCATGCAGATCAGTTACTGCCCAGCAGGGGCCTGCAGGGTTTTTCTCTGGATTGGGGGATGCCAGGCGCAGTTCAGTGAAGGGAACTATATTAAAAACAGGGGGATTAAATAAAAGTTTTCCACTGAATGTTGGAATTGAGTTCCTATTCCACCCAGCTTACAGAAACTCAGCAGAATATTTATGGCATTTTTCAAGCAGGATATTAGAAAAGACTTATCAGCTCAAAAAAAAAAAGAAAAATCTCGTGGCACCTGGGTGGCTCAGTGGGTTAAGCATCTGCCATCGGCCCAGGTCACGATCTCAAGATCCTGGGATCCAGCCCCTCGGGCTCTCTGCTCAGCGGGGAGCCTGCTTCCCCCTCCCCCTCTGCCTGCCTCTCTGCCTGCCTGTGATCTCTCTCTCCCTTTCTGTCAAATAAATAAATAACATCTTTTTAAAAAATATC